TTCACTGAGCTACCTGGGTCAATCAAAACTCGTTTAACGTTAGTATCATGTACAAGTAAAGATACTACTAGTGCATCGTTATGAGGAATCATCAAGCCATCCGCGTCTTCATCATCCAACACTATGTTATCTCCTTCCAAGACTTGGCGAACTCGTTTTCCGTGGGTGACAGTGACCTTTAATGTCTTTTTAGCAGCCGTGTACGTTACCCCATTAACTTCTTCTCCCCCGTTCCCCCCCGATTATGACGGTCACCGTTCGTTTTGGAGATGAAGGCTTTGGTGGTTCCTGCCTATTTTTTGTGTAAGATTTTTTCCTTTCTCACATAACAGATCAGTGAGATATCCTTGCTTCACTAGATATTCAACTTCCTCTTGTAATAGCCTGCAATCTGTTGTTCTATAGCCATGATCATTGTGAAACTCGCACCAGAATTTTGGGTTCCTTTTGTTTAGATCCGATCTAATCTCTTTTGGCCATCGTACCTTGTCTCCCATTCCTCTCAGAACAACCACCAATGTAAAAGTGCTGACATTGAAACTATAATCTCTAATTTTTGCTTTAGTGCTGGAATTGTTGCCTCGGGTGTTTTGTTCCTTTTTGAATTGGGAAGAAGAACTCGGCTCCTTTTCCCTTGATCTTGAATCGAACCTTGCATTCTCTTGTTTAGGTCGGGAATCTCGCACCGCAGGTTCCATATAAGGCTCGTATCTGTTCTTACCAGACCTTCTCTCTGATTCCAAGCATCTAGATCCTGGTCTTTCATCTGTCCTTGGCTAAGTAACCATATTTTCTTCTATACGCAGCTTCGTGCTGTATTGATTGTACACATCGTTCCAAGTAGTTGCAGGAAACTCCTGCAAACTCTCTTTCAACCTCCTCGTGGATTCTGAACTTTTCTCATTCAAATTGTTTGCAAATCCATAGCCGCCCAATTATCAGGTATCCGTGGTAGCATAATTCTCACGTTGGAATCTATCTACGAACTCTCTGAGCAATTCTGTACTTCCCTGCTTAACTTTGAAAATATTTTCCATCTTTTTTTCAACTTTTTGAGCCCCAGAATGTGCTTTTAGAAATACATCTGCAAGCTCAGCAAAAGAATCAATAAAGCTTTCAGGTAAGAGTGAGTACCATGTTAACTCCCCTTTCATTAGAGTTTCGCTAAACTTCTTGACCAAGATTGATTCAATTTCTTGTTTGGTTTTATTGCCTTTTACCCTTGTGGTGAATGCAGTAACGTGATCCCGTGGGTCAGATGTCCCATCATATTTAGGGATATCATGCATTTTAAACTTTTTGTGAATTCGCAAAGGTGTTGCGCCTGGCTTCCAGGGTCGTTGTGAATATTTGTCAATATCCATACCTTTGATTACAGGAGGCACGCCAGGTATTTGCTCTATACTCTCATTTTGCTCCTTCAGCTATTTCTACAAAGTTAATATTAAAATTCGTAAATTGAAATTATTCGGTGTACCTGATCCTCCATCTCGGGATTCGTTTGGCATTTCTCCACTTCTAGAATTGTCAAGTCGTGAACGTAGATTTTCCTAGGTGTTGTTCACTGGTGGTGGAGTTTGTGCTGCGTTGGGCAATCCACTCGCAAAAGCTCAAAGTGCTTCGTTCATGCAATCAACTGCTTCAAAGAATCCTTCTCGACGGTTTGTTCACCTCCTTGTTGCCCATCAGTACGTGAAGCAGACCTTTCAGGTGAACTTTCTCGTGAATACTGAGGAGTAGTTGTGGGTGTTTTATGTGGTGGAGTTCCACCTTGATGATCCAGCTGATTATTTTCGTTAGTAGTAGTCATGTTTTGTTGCTAAAAAATGAGATTTGGAAAGTGAACAGATTATCAGAGTCCCATCAACGGAACCAATTTGTTTAACCCAAAAATAATTTTTACGGTCAAAGCTAATATTAGGAAAAAATCGGCTTACTGATAATCAAAAATTACTTCACTTTCTTGGTAATTCTAGAGTAGGAAAAATAATGAAAATAATAAGGAGACAAAGCTAATTGTTGATTTCTAATCTTTCCCAGAATTGCGATTTGAATACTTGAACCGAATAAAGTTAAAGACTGATTGCATATATTCAAAAATATTCAGATGCCTTTACAAATGAGGAACGAATCCTTATATAAGGATATATAATTATAATGGTTCTCTTACTTAATTATGGCTCGTTAATGGTATTAATTGCCTTGATTGCGCATTACCATATTTAATTGTAATAGTTATAATAATAACTGAGGATTTTCCGTAATCAAGATCAATGCCGATTTTCCTTCCTTATTTTTTAATAGATTCATGAATCTTCACCTTTTATGGTCTTCATTCATCTCGTGCATATTTCTTCTTTTCCAGCTGGTAAGGTCGGTTCCTCTTCTCATGAAACACCGCAGGTGTTTCACTCGTGCCTTTTCGTTTTCTTTTATTAACTCAGCTGAAAGTGCCACAAGTCACCTCGCTGATGGACCACGTATATCATACCTTTTTTCCACCGATACAGTTATAAACATATATTATTTCATTCCTATTAGAGAATATCATCAAGGATAAAATGAAAATATTAAAATTATGAAAATACTAAATATAGGAGTGTTGGTTTTAAAATAAACTAAAAAGTAATGCATACACAACGTGAGATAGAGGGAGTATATACAATAAGTCCGTTCCGCTTGCAGATGATACAAAGTAAATATCAACAACAGTAAGTCTGAGAACCAAGCTCAGTTACAAAATGAATTATAGTCAGTTTGGCCAAGATGCAAAAATCAGTTTATTTTGAGAAGTCCTTTTTGTCAAAAATATTTTACTCAAAAGTATTTTTGGTGAAAAGTAGTTTGTGTTTGGCTAATTAATTTGAAAAGCACTTCTGAGCAGCAATTACTGTTTGGCCAAGCTTTTAAAAACTGCTTCTAAGTGTATTTCAAAAGTGCTTTTCAAAAAAGTATTTTTGGAGAGAAAATATTTTTTTCTGCTTCTCCAAAACTGCTTCTGTTTCTCCTCAAAAGTACTTTTTTCTTTCCAAAAGCTTGACCAAACACTTCAACTTTGAGAAAAAGGTATTTTTTTTGAAAAAAAAGTACTTCTAGAATGGGGAAGCTTGCCAAACAGGCTATTAGTATGACAATAGTGTGACATCGTTTATAAAAAGTTCTGCGTACATCTTATTTGGTAAGGGTAAGTGAGGTGAAATGTCACATCTTTTTATCAATCCATGCATGCACACCACCACCTTTGGTGTTGAGAGCTAATCAAATCTTTGGTGCATTGCAACGCAAGTTAGTTCTAACAAGTAGTAGCTATTATTTTTCTCTCTATTCTTTTCTTTTGTATTGCTGTATTCTCTTATTCTTGTCTTTCCCACAGGGAGAGGGGGCGGGAATTTGGGATATGGAATCGGAACAACCCCATGTGACACCAACTTTGAAGCATGAAGATCTTTACACTCAAATCATTAGCGCTTTAGCATCCCCCAAAGTTTGATCCAACCCATTTTTGTTCAGTTTACGAACTAGTTATAATATTGCAACAAACAGTAAGGCGTACATGCCTTTTCTTTGCCGACGCATCCGCATAAGATCCTTCAAATCAGATGAAAGCAGATACCAATGAAATTAAAGATCGATACGACTGAATTTAAAAGGCCACGAAGAGAGAAATAGCGAGTTCCTCGTTATAATGCAATGCATGCAGGATCTTTTTTACTGTAACGAAATTTTATGATAGTGACTGTTCAAATCAGTTTCACCCACCTTAACTAATTTACCAGACAACTTGTTACAACTGATCATAAGTTCGGTTTAGCTAATTACTGTGCTCTTGTAATTACTGATAAGATTAATTAAGACAAAGTTGTGTGATTAGGTCGGTGATATGATGTTTCCAAGGGGAGACACTTACATCCTCGCCCAAACCAGCGGGCGGATGTAGCTTATAAATTACGGGTTCATTTGAATCCATAACTTTCGACACGATGTATAAAATATATATGTAAACACTTACTGAAATCTCAAAAAACATTAGATCTTAACCCATATTTTTAATAGTATAACGAGTTTAATATCGAAAATCTTAAAAGTTGAACCAGAGGCGGACCTACGTGTATGGTAGGAGGGTCACCGGACCCCGTAAACCTCGGGGAAAATTTTGTATATATATGTATATATACCTTGAGAAACGGCTTTATATTTAATTAGGCACCTTGAAGATCAAAAGCCAGCTTGGGGCACTGGTCGAATCTGCTACATGCCTCTCCACTTGTGGGGGATGTCCTGGGTTTGATTCTCGGCTCCCTCACCTTCAGTAATTATTTTGATAAAACCTCTGCCTTAAAAGCTTCAAATCACTTATCTCTTCTCTTTCCTTAATTCCATACCCAACTTCACCTCCTCACTCACTCATACATGTATCACCGAAAGTTTGTCACCATTCGATGGTGCCCCCGTCATTTTTGAATTCTGGGTCCGCCTTTGAGTTGAACCCATAAAATTTAAATCTTGGATCCGCTTTCATAAACTAGTGGTTCTTGAAACCTAGGCAGCATAATCATTGGATTACTCTCTCCCCCCCCCCCCCCCCCCCTTTTAATATACCTTATGTCCATAAACTTGGGTATCCCCTGCTTTTTGGAATCCCCTTATTCTTCTCCTCCTCCCAGAATGCAGTTCAACTAATATATACAAAAATGAGGATTTAAATATGATTACAATAGGTACCCTTTATGCAGTTAGTTCCCCTTCATGTGCTCTGCCATCGCACAAAGTTAGCTTTTTGGGTAGTAAAATTTTGCAAGCTCATACTGTCCTCGGAATGCAGTTTGATTCTCCTTGTTTTAAGCGTAGTATATGAAAGCTTGGAAGCTGTTTTCTCCTCACTAGTCATAACCTGTTCTTTCTTCTTCCAAAACTCGTCCGAACCCCTCAAGTCTCAACCCGAACCATCCCAACAAGTTTCAAATACTATTATCAACTTGTTCCAATCATAAGCAGATACAATGGGTGAAGAAGCTAAACAGGTTACTCATATTATTCCTTTCTTGAATTTCTTTCATTTGGTGATCAATTAATAGACTGAGAAAATATAGTTGGATACTTATGTTTTCAGGAAGAACTGGAAATAGAGAAGGTAGAGAAGACAGAGGAGAAGAAAGAACCAAAACCACCTTCCCCTTTTGTTTTGCATATAGACTTGCATTGTGTAGGATGTGCCAAGAAGATTGAGAGGTCCATTTCAAAGATTAGAGGTTATTATCCTACTCTTGGTCTCTTTATTTCACTGCCTGTGCGTGCCTTCTTTTTAATTTTAAAAACAGTGATATCTTTAGCCAGTTTGCACGCACCTTGACTTTACCTTGAGTTTCTTTTGTGATTATATAAAAGGATTAAATTTATATTCAAATGGAGCAGGGGTTGAAAGAGTGATGATAGATATGGCACAAAACCAAGTGATAATAATTGGTGTGATAGAACCACAACAAGTTTGTGCCAGGATTATGAATAAGACAAAGAGAGTTGCCAAAGTATTGTCACCCCTGCCAGCAGATGAGGGTCAACCTATTCCTGAAGTTGTTGCATCACAGGTGCTCTTTTATATTAGATTATTAGTACAGTATATTTCTGAAAGGTTTGTGAAATGACTGAAGAATATACATAAACGTAAACGTTTCATCCTTGTTTTAATATACCTTTTCAGATTAGTGGGTTGACTACTGTTGAGCTCAGTGTCAACATGCATTGTGAGGCGTGCGCCCAGCAACTTAAAAGAAAGATTTTAAAAGTGAGAGGTATATCAACGAATTCTTTATTAATATTACCCTCCCAAATATAATTTAGTAGATCAAAAATGTTGTCGTCTCCGTTTCATTTCTCATCAATTTTAATTTGAACTTACGTGGTCTTAAGTAAATCATGATTTTTTTTATGGCTATAAAATCATGACATCAAAAGGTAAATAAAATTTTTGAAGTTTGATTGGTTCTATATATATAAAGGTGTCACTTTTATTTTTGAATCAAAATAAAAAGGAAAGTGTATTGTTACATAAAATAAAACAGGAGAAGTATTATTTTGTGACATTGAGGACGAACTTGGTATACAAGATTTTGCACTTCAGTTCCTCTAAATAATTGTAAGAATCCCATGTTAAGTTGGTAAACATGCACAACTCGCAAATATCCAAATTGTGTTGCTGGTGGGTTATATATTTCTCTTGATTTCCTATTTCACCATATTATTGTGAAAAGAATTTAAGTTAATGTAATAAACAAATTACACTATCGGTATAATTTATCATATTACTTATCATTTATTCTAGGTTATCGATCAATGTGATTAAATATAGTTATATGTAATTAGTTTTTAACCTGATGTGTAAATATTTGTTCTATCGTCAATACATAAAACTTATTCGTGGTAAACTAAACTGTGACTTTCATTTTGAATGGAGACTAAGATTAATGATGATCGCAATAAAACTGTTGCTTTTTAAAGTGTTTAAATGATTATAAATTTCTCCTGGAATACTTACAAGCTTGACCAATGATTTTAATTTAACGAACTAATTTTAACGGTATAAGACTTAATCACCTCTAATTCGGCAAATGCTATAGTATAGTACGATTTGTTTACACGCTCATAATAATTTAACGGCCGTCCCTAACAGATTACACCATATTCTTCCTCAAATTATGAAACTCATACTAAAAATTAATCCATGAGTCTAAGCTCTATGCATAGGCGCTATAAAAAATATTTATATAATCAGTTCATTTATGAGATATATACTTTTATGCATATTACGCAAGTCATTACACTTTTCTATGCATATAACTTAAACCAATTGATACATTATATGAACAAGGACAGTAATAATCTTGTTCATGATTATTGTAGGGGTGATAACAGCGGAAACAGATGTGAGCTTAGGGAAAGTAATAGTAACAGGAAACATGGATGCCAACAATCTCGTTGACTATGTCTACAGACGAACCAAAAAGCAGGCCAAAATTGTCCCTCAACCTGATCATGAACCCAAGCCTGAAGAGGCGGCCAAATTACCAGAAGATGATGAAAAAGCTAAACCAGAAGAGGAAGAAGTTAAAGAAGGAGAAGAAGAAATGATCATCCCATCGGGAGATGAACAAATCATCAATAAAATGATGTATTACTACCAGCCACTTTATGTCATTGAAAGAATCCCACCACCTCAGCTCTTCTCCGATGAAAACCCTAATGCATGTTGCATTACGTAACAGTTAGGGCCCTAACTCTGAGTTAACTATTTATCAACCTAATTCATCATTTAATTTGGAGATTTTAATGTAGCCAATGTGACAAAACCTATCTTGAATGAGTAATTATTAACCTTAATCTGAATGCCACTCTGCAAGTCTCCAAAACTACACTAATGTATAATTACTATTTTATACACAACGCAGCTTTCATTTTTAATTTTGTTTATTCTAACCTGTAAGAACTGCATGCCAACGCAATGACATTATTAGATCGAACGCAACGAACATATTTATAAATCCAGGATTTAGATGGCTTCCTTTTCAACATTAATTTCTTCAAATTGCTTCAGCCTTTAAATAATACCACCATTAACGATAATATTTTATTATAAATCTTTTAAAGCACTATAACACAATGTATTTATAGCTACGAAATCTTAACTACGAATTTAATAATCGTAGCTAATACATTACAATAGCCACAAAAATAAGAATCTCCTGGCTATTTACAAATTCGTAAAATTTGCTAGCCACGAAAATTAAATTGGTAAAGCTAATTCCTTATTTTTGCTATAATTGATAATAATCATAGCAATAACTATCTAAATAGCTACAATTTTTTTGCTACAATAAAGTTGCATAGCTAACCATAAGATTTTGCCACGCGTTAAAAGTTATTGTAGCAGTATTAACCTTTTAGTTACAATAAATTATTTGAAAAAAAATATTGTATCTAAAGAAATGCATTTGCTTCAAGTTATAAAAAAAAACGGTGGCAATAGATAAATAATATAGCCACAGATTTATTACTAATGAAAAGTTAATGTCAAATGTAACAATTACATGTCTCTTAAATATAGGAAAATAGTAATTGTATATGATTATGAAAGAAAATAGTAATTGTATATGAAATTAAAGAATTATTTAACTTTCAAAAAACTAAGATTAAAATGCTAAATTAATCTTCATTCTCAAATAGTAGATCATTTGTTACCTCGTTATAGCAGCAAAACTTATCAATTGACTTCTTAGACTTATCAAACTCATATTTTATTTGAGTTCACTTGTTGTTAATTATATAATATTTTATGTAAATTTTAAATTATTATTAATAATTATAGATATTTATTTATGTATATACTCTATTATTTTTAAATAAGTGTACTTACATTTTCTTAAAAAGTATTCATATTGAAGACTTTAATTGTTGTAGTATTTATATATATGGTCCTTAATTATTTTTAAAGCACTTAATCATATATATTTAAGAAGTCATTTTAAAGTAAGTGCTCATATATTGAAGAGCTTTCTTGGGGGAGGGTTGGTGCATTTATTTTTGATAATGACCAAAGGCCCCAAATATATACAAGGAGCATATTTAACACTACAAGAAAATAATAATACTCTTAATGAAAAAAAGAAAAAAGTATATGATTTGCGATGAAAAACTATATTTATGTTAATTTTTGCCCTAATATATGATGACAAATCTAAAAACAGGATTTCTATTGATAACAGTACTATTTGTATTAATTAATATATAATCTTCTTGTATCTAGTTATCCTCAGATGCCTAAGTCTATACGAAAATTAGTTGTATTGGTCTTCTTATAAAATCAGTATTAGTACGTTCAATTTTAATTAAAAATATTGAATTATATATTATTAATGTGTGAATAACTAATAAATAGAATTAAACAACATTAGTATTATACCAATTACATTGTATAACAAATTATATATATTCTTTATAGACAATAAAATATGTTATAATGATATGGATTTACTATCATAATAACTATTAATTATCATAAATTAAATTATATATTGAATCTAAGAATTGAAAAAAATTATAATATTATTTTATACATGAAGGAGATCTCGTCTCTCTTGTGAGTATTATTTGTATTTAAGAATAGTCGCATTTTCACTATTATTACTCTTATTCTTTTAGTATAATTTATATTTGAAAATAGTTACATATTTTGTTAAATTTATTTTTTTAGAAAAGTTAATAACTTAATATGACAGATATAGGGGATGCATAACAAAATAAACTAGTATATCATAATTTATTTTTTGGTAAATAATAAATATGATAATTCATTCTAAACAAAATATTACTTGAAAGTTTCAAATATACTTTAAATATGTATATAATTATAATTAATTAAATTTAAATATCTGAATATATTACATTTAAACAATTATGTGCTTGTATTTATCTATATTGCTTACTAGTTATATTCAATTTACATAAGTATTAATGTTATTGATTGATATTATTGTATTTTAATAACTTAACAATTATCATAAATCTAACTTAACACTAAAAATGAAGATGCTAACACTATTGAAATATGAACACATAACAAAACAAATAATATCAATGAAAAAAGCGGTAAAGAAAAATATATTTTAGAACATCTTTATTTCATCCAAATAGTTTATTTTTTCTATGTTAGTTAAATGTAACTCTTTTGGTTTATTGTAGGTACTTTGCTTTACTTTTATTAAGAAGTAAAGCAAAATATAAGAAACGAAACACAAACTAAATCCCTAAACCAAAGTCCAAAACCCAAACTTCATCCCTCAGCCGCCACTGCCCTTCCCCACTTTCTTATTTTTTCTTTTATCATTAGTCGGCATTAATTCAAGGCTACGAGAAAGACAGAGGATCAACAAGACTGTATCCCCATTGCAATCTTCATTTATGGACAGAATTTTAACTTGTTGGTTCGGCTCTTTCCCGATAAGCGCATGTTTCTATATCATAGTATTTTCGATTCTTCTTAGGCCTACTTGAGTTTGGGATTTTTACTTCAATCTTAGGGGTTGTTCCAGCAATTTGATGATATTATGCCTTATTTTTTGATAAGTGATGAGTGCAATTTTTAAGATTTGATAGATTTTGTGCCCTACACCTAATTGACTTGGATTTCTGTTTTAATTTTTTGTTTTTGATGTACAGGATGCTCAAGAGAAAAGTGCCTTTGAGAAATTGTATTCTCTTCTAATGCCAAACTGTAAGTTTTTTTCCCCATCTTCTTAAGTTATGATGTTTATTTAAATGCTTTTTTTTTCTTCTGTATTGAAAGAAGTTTAGATCTTTTTTCACCTGATTCATAGCTAAATTTTTGCTTATTCCATCATTCATTGAATTCTTAATTATTAACTGTAAATGCATCTATCTGGTATATATTCTGATAATTCAAATAAAAATTTCTCACAAGATTATTTTATTTTATATTTCAGTCCAATGATTACGGAGAGTGCTTCATATATTCTTGGATGCATAAAAATCAACTTGTAACGATCCGACTGTCCGTTTTATTTTTAGAATCAAGTTGCCCTAAATAAGACTTCCCGTACTTGCTTTTACTGATTTATGACTTGCTTTCACTGCCCAGCGATCTTCGCACCTGCGGTCACGCGACCGCTTCTACCGTCCCGCAGGTGCGGACCAAATACCACTTCTACGGTCCAGGGCTCCCAACCCATTCCCGCTTCTGTGCCTTCTCTTCTGCAGATGCGATGCCGCTTCTGCGGTGAGATGACTGCATCTGCCGTCCCAGCTCTCCCCCACCAAAATCGCATATGCGACCACAGGACCGCTTCTGCGGCTCCGCACCTGCGGCCCAAGCCTCGCAGGTGCGGTTACACCAGAAGGCAGCTGCTAAATTCTTCTTCTAACTCCAAATTCGATCCGTTAATAACCCGGAATGCACCCGAGGCCCCCGGGACCTCATCCAATCACACAAACCAGTCCCATAACATAACACGGACCTCTTTGAGGCCTCAAATCACATCAAACAACGCTAATATCACAAATTACACTCCATTTCAAACTTGATGAACTTTAGAACTTCGAACTTCTTTATTCGATGCTGAAACCTATCAAATCACATGCGATTGACCTCAAATTTTGCACACAAAGTCATATTCGACATTACGGACCTACTCCAACTTCCGGAATCGGAATCCGACCCCGATATCAAAAAGTCCACTTCAGATCAAACTTCTCAAAAACCTTTAAATTTCTAACTTTCGCAAATGACTTCAAAATGACCTACGGACCTCCAAATCCACTTCCGATCGCTCTCCCAATACCAGAATTACCATGCAAAGCTATTCCCAGACTCGAAATCCCAAACGGACATTGATACAGTGAAATGCCCTTCAATCCAAATTTATGAAAATTTTCCAAAATGCTAACTTCCATAATAGGCGCCGAAACGCTCCCGGTTCATCCAAAACCTGATCCGGGCACACGCCCAAGTCCGAAATCACCATACGAACCTGTTGAAACCTTTAAATCCCAATTCCGAGGTTGTTTACTCAAAGTCAACCCTTAGTTAGATCCTTCCAACTTTATGCTTCCGAAGTGAGAATTCTCTTTCCAAATCAACTCCGAACTCCCCGAATTTCAATTTCGGCTATGCGTGCAAGTCATAATACCTGAAGTGAAGATGTTCATGGCCTCAAAACACCGAACGATGCGCTAGAGCTCAATATGACCGGTCGGGTCGTTACAACGGCTATACTCACTTACTTGAGAATTTGTATGAATTACTTGACTATAAATGGACAATTTGTGCTTCCTTGATAATAAATTGTTATTTGAGGATCGAGTGGAGCGCCTCGGTAATAAATAGATGCATCTATGGTTCGCGCCATTCGACCCTCTAGTAGTGCACAGTTTATTATTATATCGGACCGGGCCGTACGACCTCGGCACAATGTGCGCATGTTATTTATGTGGAACTTTCCATGATTTACACTGCTTAAATGCTTTGAATTGTAACTTATTACCTGATATGACTGAAATTGATATATTGTTTAAGAAAGAATATCTTATTTCTCCTTGTTCTTGGACTGTCATTATATCCATACTATTCATGCTTAGCGCTACACTTAAACTGTATTATTATTGACCCTAGTAGGTGTCAAGTCGACCCCTCGTCACTACTTCTTCGAGGTTAGATTGGATACTTGATGGGTACATGTTGTTTATGTAC